TCTTTGGGGAAAAAAAAAACGGCGTCTCTTTTTCTGTCACTGATCTGGATGGATGGTGTAGAAGACGGTAGAGAGTAGTCAGTAGAATAGAGAGAGTAGAGTAAAAGCTCTGCAGCGTCCTTTTGGGCCGGAACGCCCACCACCAGTCACTAGTCCGAACGTAGCATCAGCGCGTTAGGCCCGGAGCGAAACCCGCCGCATTAACACTTCATCTGCAGCGCCTACCCGTTATTAGTAGTATTCTTTACCTTTTTGTACTTCTTTTTTTCTTCCTCTTTTTCTTTTTCTCATCTTCTGAAAGTTTGTGCTTCCAATTTAATTCATAGGTGTAGACAGAATTCCGATTTAATTCATAGGTGGATTTGGGCCTCTATTTTTTTGAGAGTTTACAAAAAAAAAATAGAATAATTGAAGACTCATAATTATGATATGTTTATATTTTTCAATAATTTGGTTAATCCAAACAAAATAATTACCTCAAAATGGTTTGCATAATATCTTCAATTTATAATTAAAACTGCAACTCTGTACAGAGTTAATTCCACAAAAAAAAAAAACAGAAAAGAAAACAACGAAAACTCACCACCAAAGATGTTACCCATTGGGTTGAAATTAGAGCATATCCATGCAATACAATTACTACTTCTACAACAGTCGCTTCTACCATTACTACTTCCAATTAACCAATCCAAACTTTGGGCTATTGACCACCATCAAGTCCTTAAAATTTAATGGAACGAGAGCCAGATCAAATCTTGCTTCATATTAATTGTCACAATACATGACCTCTCTAATAAAATAAAAAAAATCAAGACGAACGCAGTTCAATGATGATTTAATTTCCATCGATTTCTCATAAGGCCAGTTGGACCTCCCTTTTAAATAAAGACAAAATAGAATAATATAGATAAAATAACGATGACAAAAAAATAAAAAATAAAAATTAAGTGATCCAAACTTCAATGCAACCTTTTCTGTCGCGTTGGAGGGGAAGATCCAATATTATACAATCAGCTTCAAGTTTTTCCTCAATAGATCGGTATTCCAGGACATAGTCATTCCCACAACTCCAAAACAAAGAAAAAAAATTAATTTGGAGTTTCTCATCCACATTATGGAATGTCGAACAAAACTAAAATAGCGAAATTAATCCCTAACCAGGTTATACGAATTCCCTTATAACTGAGAAAGTACAAGTTTCAACAATGTCGCAAAAACATTATCTAGCTCATTTGGTTTAACAAAATTTTAAGCCATCCAACATAAAGAAATCAAACATAAATCCCACAAGCAAGTAGCAAGAACAAGGATCCAAAACCCTGCAACATATGAAGGGAATTTTATTAGAGACATAGAAGACATGAAGGTTAAAAGTGAAAATACAAGTTTAATGGATCTCGATCGTACCAAGAAGACAGATGCCACTGCCCCAGTAGTGAGCTCCTTAGCAAGACTACGATTCTTCTTTGAAGAGGTAGCTTCATAACTGCATAGACGTGCACAACTTGTTATTAGAAAAAAAAAAAGAAAAAAAAAAAAGGAGCAGACATGTGACACATGGAGACTTAGAAAGATCTAATCTAAAAGGTGCAGAATTGCCAAAAACGAACCGAAATAAAAAGATATCAAATGCCTGGTAAAGATGTCTACAACGTTCATATTGCAGCCATCCACTTAGCTTTAATCATTTGTGACTCATAGTATCAACCCAATCACAAAGGAAGTTAGCCCATACACAATATTAAGGAATTGTTGAATTGTCATGGAAATTTTCCAAGAAAGAAGTTTCATTTCAGAAATAAATTACATATTATTAACAACATTGATTTAAGTAATGAAGCTAGATTTCATCCTTGGTGGCTCATCAGAAATTTCAGCTGCAAGACATGCATTTACAGCAAGGTGGTGCCAAAAATAGCACATTACTAGGGTAGATGGTTTTCTAGAATTAGGGAGGAGCAAAGCATTAACCAAGTTCTGATTTAACCGAAGACTGCAAGATCCCAAAAATAGAACAAACTTTCCAGGCAACTAATGATGTGTTTTTGATTATGGCTGTTGTCTATCATGAGATCCATATTTCAATCTGGGCATATAACAAGCAGCAACTGTGCATTACTTTTCTCAGATAGCAACAAGTAAGGGGATACAAACTTACATTTGGCAATGTAATTGAGAGGAAAACATGAAATGCCAGCCACGGAAGAAATTGTAAAACAAAGACACAAGCCACTTAATGTATCCAAAGAGCAATTCCAGTAGTAAGATAAACTAAGATCCTTTCGATAGCCATAACATCTCATTTAAATGAGAATCAACAACGGCAGCAGAGGAACGAAAAGTCTAGGATACTCTGGGGCTTTCTCAATTTGTAACCTCTCAACTTTGTTCCACCCACATTTACTCTGGCGAAAATGATCGTTTCATCCTTCACATTTCACAGAAATATTCTTTTCATCCCTCACTTTTAAAATGAAACAATTTCGTCCTTGACATTTAAAAACTGAAATTATTACATCCCTGAACCCAAATTTCAATCTGAATCAAATCACCAATCAACCTGATTACAAATTTTGGAGGTGTAATTGGTAGATCACTTGATTAACTCAACTTGATATTCATGTGAAATTTAATGAACCTAAAAATAAAAAATAAAAAATTATAACAAAAAAGAAAAATTAATCTTTCCTATATTATCATTGTATATACTGACGGTTTTATGTACCACCATTCATTTTAATTTAAATTTAAACACCAAATTTTATATTTATGATACACATCTAGATTCGCAAGTAGATATACTAACGGTGCATGAAAAGATTTACCCAAAAAAAACTCTACTATTCCAAGGCAAAGAATGGCCTTTTATGTTATAATTTTTATTTTTTTGGTTTAATAAATGTCATATGAATATGATGAAGTTGACCGAATGATCTATCAATTCTATTTTCAAAATTTATTACTGGATTATTAGATTGTTTGATTCAGATTGAAAATTAGGCTCAGGGATGTAATAGGTTTAGTTTTTAAATGTCAGGGACGCATTTGCTTCATTTTAAAAGTGAGGGACGAAAAGAATATTTTTGCGAGATGTGAGGGATAAAACAGGTCATTTTCCCTTTACTCTACAAAGAAACTGCGAAAATAGTCTGTTTTCACAAAAAACACTTAAAACAACTCATGATGCCATACTCCAATTATCAAATGCAAAAACAAAAGAACCAATAAAAGATGTAGAAACGAGCACAATGTAATTTGTTTGTTCCACTGGCACCAGGTAATGAGCATACTGAAAATGATTTCTTTTTTCCGGGGGAAAGGAAGCGCTTGCAGCTAGAATCCAGGTTTCCATCACATAACATCAACACATACAACCTACGGGTTCATTCACCTATAAGAGATCAAATTAAAACAAAAAAGAAAAATATGCAGCCAACAAAAACAAGAAATTAACAGGACATGTCGACCGATTAAGATTATTAGGTTATTCAAATTAGCAGAAAAAAAAAAGAAATTTAATCTCAGTAACCTACCCCCCCCCCCCAAAAACCAAAAAAAAGCCGCGGAAAAGCAAAAAAGAATGACTAATCTACCTGATAGATTATAGATAAATGCAAATCAAACACCAATCAGAGAGCATACCCAAAATTCACTTGAGATAGCACTGTTGAGGTGTAGTAAAGAGTTCTACAAAAGTCAACTAAAAACTTACATGAAGAAGGAAGCAGTGACGATCAGGCCAACGGCGAGCATTAGGACGGCCAGGGTTGGGTACCACGGCTCCGGGACTGGGCTCGAGATCGGCTTCACTGATTGAGCCTTTTTTCCCAAAACAAAAATTTATCACAAAATAAAATAAAACAAAATCAGAAATAAATTCCCTAAAAATCTGATAAATGTAGATTTTGAATTGTGCGAGAGAGAGAGAGTACAAGAGGAAGAATTAGATAGTACCATCTTCTTAACTGGAGGAGTAAGGCGATGGGATCTTCTGCTTCTTCTTGCCTTTGAGCGTCAGACGGGATGGAAGACCCTGAGAGTAATGAGATTTTGCGCCTGGGTTTATGAGCATTAAGACAGATGTATTCTGATCCGTTCGATTTCACGTGATATATTTAGGCCGTCCAAAATATGAGCCTCCTAAATATATATCTATATATATTTAGAGAACATTTAAACATTTTGATCATAATACTAACCAATTGGCTGAACAGTTGTTTTTTGTGGGTCTCTCTTAGATTGCTTTCGGGCCGATTTCTCGTTTATTCCTGCGTTTATCTAAATTAGTTGGGTGTGTTTGTTCTTTCCATTTCGAAAAAAACAAACATCAGAATACTAATTTAGGCAAGTAATATTGGTGCTCTTGAAAAGCCTCATGCGGCCAGATTATGATGCAATGGATGAAACTACCTCCGCTTAGTTTTCTTTCTAATTTGTGATCAGCTAAAAATTTGAATTTGTTCTATACATCGCAAGATAAAATTTTTATTAAATTTGTAGGAACAATTGGAATTGGAGATTATCGTTACGATAGTTGGATGCATTTGACGCTAAACTAAAGTTTTGTTTGGATTGCATTTTTCTGAATTTTTTATAAAAAAATTAACGGAGGAATGAGACGCACTAGGCAAGTCATGTGCGATGGACATTTGTTTGGATCGTAGCCTGCCAACCATGCGGAAAGGTAAGACGCACAGGGGATAAAACACATTAGATAAGTCCTGTGCAACTGGTAGATGGTAGGTTCGAGTGCAGTCCTAAAGGTTCGAACCCAGTTGCCTGGACTGATGTAGATTTATAGAGGGTAACTGTTTTAGGTTTGACTTGAATGGGATGATCCACTGACCACAACCGTGACGGGTTGAGCTCTGTTTAGCAGATTGTGAGATCAGTTCTTGTGGTATCTATTTTGCCCTTATGAATTCATTGCTTCATCACCGGTTTTCCTATTATCTAGCAGAGAATCATTTGCTTCATCCAAAAAGTAAGCCAGCAGCATATGCATTTCCCAACATGGGATACAAACTATTCTGTACAATTAACTTGCAGATTAACCTTTCATCACAGAACTGTCTTCTGATGATCCAAAAATGGCAGAAATTCCCGCGGGGGGGGGGGGGTGCTTTCTCTGCAAAATAGTGCACCATAAAACAATAGGCATCATCATACTACAATGCTCACTCTACAAGAAAATCTATTTCGCCGTTTTAAGTATTTTGTTGAAATTCAGATACATGTCAGCACTCATTTCAATTACATTTACATTTGATGGTGCGCAGGAGTTCCGACTCAACCATCCATTGTCGAAGAAACAAAAAAATGTATTCTTCCCTCGTCTCCTTTATTCTTGGCCATTGATGAAGGTATCCAAGCAATTCACTAAACGGATCCTTACTGATCATCTGTCTAATTATCTGATATCCTGTACACAACTTCTCAAACAATTGTTGCAGATGAATTTTGTCCATCGCAACAGAAAATAATTGTCACCGAGATCCACGCCATGACTTGAACATCAAACCATGCTCGCTCACCGTACCCCCAGATAATCGCCTCATCTTTTGCCATAGCTGCCTTGCTTTTCCTAATGTTAAAGGCCCTGAACCTGAGTGCCTCCCTAGTGGCCCAGAATCTTGCATCGCATATCTTGCCGATGAGCTCAATAAATCTGATACAGATATTCCCCTTTCAACATCTACCTCACAATCATAATGAGAGACTGGGGATTGACCATAATGAGAGACTGGGGATTGACCATGTAAAGGAACTCCCAAGGAGTCTAAAGTGTTAGAAATCCCAGTATCCATGTCTAGAGACAGATCCTCCTGACTACAACTTCTGGACCCCATTTCTTTCGTTTCATCACACTCATTGCATATTAATTTGAGTGCCTGAACAACTTCACCCATGAATGGTCTGTTTGATACCTCTGGTTGAACGCACATTGAAGCAATCGCAGCTACCTTTGAGATACCATCAAATGGAAAATCAGGGCCCAAAGTTGGGTCTATGATGGATTCTAAACCTTCTTTACTTGTAAGCACTGGGCGGGCCCAAGAAACCAAATTCTCTTGACCAGGTGGTTGAGACATGTCTACTGGTTTTCTACCTGTCAACAGCTCAAGAAGTACAACCCCATAACTGTAAACATCACTCTTCACAAGCAGATGACCGGTCATTGCATACTCTGGAGCGACATACCTGGTACATTAATAAAACCAAACTCTGTTTATGTCACTAAATGATGTCAAAACTGAATCTTAAGAACAACAAATAAAAAGGAAACACAGAGTGGGTGAACTGATGACTACTGCTGCTGCATCTATGTTACATATTAGACAAGTCACAAATCTGAGTGTTCATTGTAACTGACAGGAATGAGTTGGACAGAAGGTGGGTTCAGAACCATGTGGCACCAAGAAACTTCACCAATGGAAATGAAACATATAACACTGGCAGAGGACAACTGATTCAAATTGCCTCAATTTTGTACTAGCATTCCAAGGTTTGAAAACTTGAAACCACGCAAAGTTACTAAAAGATAATGTGAGGGATATAACACCATCAATCTAACCATAAAGTTGCCCTAAAAATGTTCAGATAAGGTCATCCAAGGGTCATACCAAGTCGACTTAAAGAAAAGGTGCCCAGGGGATGATTTAGCTACAGCAAGTCAAAAGCAGGGAAATTTACCCAAAGGTTCCCATTACACGTGTCGAAATGTGTTTATTTTCCTCATCCAATGCAGTTCGAGCCAAACCAAAATCAGAGACTTTAGGCGTAAAGTCATGTTCCAACAAGATGTTGCTGGACTTGAAGTCCCTGTGTATGACTCGTGGACTCGAATCTTCATGCAGATAGGCCAGACCACGAGCAGCACCAAGAGCTATCTTAAGCCGAGCACCCCAATCAAGAGGAGCATGTTCCTGGTGAACTCCTGAGAGCAAGCAAAGAAAGCATATAAATATAGCCGGAAACAAGGTTGGAACTTATATAAACAGAAGACAATATTACCGTGCAGATGAGATTCCACACTGCCATTTGGTATGAGTTCATAGATTAAGCAGCGAGTTCGCTCCTCTGTACATATACCAATCAACTTGACCAAGTTTCGGTGATGAAGGCGACTAAGCATCTCTATTTCCGACAAGAACTCACGACCTCCCTGCTGGTCAGCTCGCTTTAGAACTTTTACAGCCACATGAGTCCCATCTTCAAGCACGCCACTATAAACACGACCAAAGCCGCCTTCACCAAGTATTCTTGTTTCACTGAAGTTATCTGTGGCTTTCTCCATATCACATGTACTAAAAGATTTTGCAGAACCAGCATATGCTGCAATGCTAGAACCATAAGATAACGCAGCAGAACTTGGCCCACTTCCAATCATAGAGGCAGGAATCCCTACATTAGACACAGCAAACTTTGAGTTCTAAGCTATTTTTCTGCTTCAATGGGTCAATTGTTATGTGTTCTTGTTACAATTTTTTGATGACTCTTAGCTTCTCCATATGACCATGCTATGTTGTTATATGCTCTTTTTTTCATTTTTTTTAATTTTTATTATATTTTTTTAGCAGGGGAAGGGTGGGATTTTAGAAGCGGGGAAGGGGAAGGAGGGGAATTGAACACAGAACTTCTCGGCCTCAATGATATGCTCATTGAATGATTAACAAGTACAATAATGTATTATCTGCTGCCTAGGATAACTAGTAAAGACTTAAAAACATTTTGTTATGCAATTGGGTATTCAGAATTTCAAGAATGTTTGTGTGGTACCTAAAGGATTTGGTATTTGTGCGTACCTAAAGGAAAAAACCAATCCTGATACACTCCAGCTGACCACAAAAACAGCCAACAGGTTCCCTAAGTTTTTATTTTTCGTGGGACTAGTTAAGTAGACTTCTAAAATAGCTCATGAGCTTATCCAACGGTTCTAACAGAAGATGCTTTCTTGAGATCATAAGCATTCATATGAGGTCAATCTTAGAGATCAAGATAGTACCTGATGATTTTGCAAGGGAAGGCATAGTAGCTGGTGGAGTAGAGTCTGGAGGGCAGAGCTGCTCTCTGTGTTTTAAAACCAATACCCATGCAATAGCGCAGCAGAAAATTACAACTATAGAGGTAGACAAAACTATAATTGCTATCACACTTCGACTTAGCCCACCTCTGTGATGCTGTCTTCCCACATCAACCCCAAATGGCTTTATGGCCGCTCCATTGTTGTTGCGACTAGAATAAGGGTCAGTTTCTATAGTACCAATATCAGAAGATGCAGAAGGTGGAGAGGGTGGAAGACCTACAGGTTTAGTGCCCTTCATTTTAATATCAGGATCAAACCACAAATGCGAAAGAGAATATGATGCAGGCAGCCTGACATCGTTACCTGGATAATGTACATAAAGCACTTCGTAGTCTCCAAAGAGTGAAGTTTGTATAATAACTTCTTTGAGCCAGAATCTTCGAAATGTCAGATAAGCTGTGGTATTATCAAATGTTTCTCCCAGGGGTACTAAGTCAGTGAGGACAATGGTCTTTTCTGGATCCTGGCTGGCAGCGTTTGCCCCCATAATCCGAACTTGACTTGGCTTCAAAAACACTCCAGCAGCTACTTCTGCTGCGAACTCTGAAACTAAAGGGAAGAAATTGTACAACGCAACACTTAGGCGGAGTCCAACTTGTATAGGTAGGACACAAACGCATGGAGATCCAGGAGCACCATTTGTCAATGGCTCTGAGCACGTAAATGATGTGCAATCTACAAAATAAAATTGGTTTACAAATTTCTAGCACCAACTTTCATAAATAGAATGCTAAACCAGATGAACAACAGAAGGAATAAGGGAAAAGAAGTACCTCCATTAGGAGGTGGAGGTGGTAATGCTTGAAAAGGTAGCTGGAGAGGCATCTTTGGCATCCTTGGCATAGGTCTTGTGGGAGACATTTTCGGGGAATGAATTGGCACTGGCAGTCCACAAGGATGATCATAGGTAAGCATTCAAAACTAACAAATCTTAACGTCAAACTTCGCCAGCGTTCCTTATACAACAATGAAAAACATGAGATAGCCTTTAGCTTACTTTGTTGAGATGAAGATGAAGGATGTGGTGATGGCGAGGAAGAATCATAGCTTTTTGGTGTAGGAAAGGGAAAATGAGATGGGGTGTTGAGGATCCTGTAGAGCAAAGGTTGTTGGACATCAGAGGAAAACAAATAAAAGGAAATAAGACCCAGGGTTTCATAGCAAACCAGCAATTTTAATACCTGGGTTTAGGGGTGGAGGAGCATGGAACCTAAAGTCAGTCTTCGGGTCTGAGCTTGAATTATCTGGAGGAGCTAATTTGTGGGCCAACATTTACAACAAATTGAGAAGAAAAAATAGATGATAGGTAGGAGTTAAAAATCAGGACAGGAACATTGTTTGAGACTTTTATACCTTCTACAGCCGAAGCAGGAGGAGGAGCCATATATACTGATGGAGCAGGAGTTCTCTTATAATTCTTCCCATGATGCCATTGAAATGAAGAAGGTTGAGATGCAGGGGAGTTGGAGCCTGAAACTACAGGAGCATTGAGGGATGGAAGAGGAGATGGAGCATTATCGGAATTCCCCATATTATCATGAACAGATGGAGCTAAGACAAAGTAAAAAATCATTTTCAGGGTTTCATAGCAAACCAGCAATTTTAATACCTGGGTTTAGGGGTGGAGGAGCATGGAACCTAAAGTCAGTCTTCGGGTCTGAGCTTGAATTATCTGGAGGAGCTAATTTGTGGGCCAACATTTACAACAAATTGAGAAGAAATAATAGATGATAGGTAGGAATTAAAAATCAGGACAGGAACATTGTTTGAGACTTTTATACCTTCTACAGCCAAAGCAGGAGGATGAGCCATATATACTGATGGAGCAGGAGTTCTCTTATAATTCTTCCCATGATGCCATTGAAATGAAGAAGGTTGAGATGCAGGGGAGTTGGACCCTGAAACTACAGGAGCATTGCGGGATGGAAGAGGAGATGGAGCATTATCGGAATTCCCCATATTATCATGAACAGATGGAGCTAAGACAAAGTAAAAAATCATTTATAGACATCTCTAGCATTTCTGGCTACGTATCAGAAAATGTCATTGAGAAATCAGAAGTTTTATATTCACCTTTTGCTGGTGAAGTGCTCACAGGCGACTGCTGGGTGCTTGTTCCATTTGGTGGTGTGGCAACAGGAGATGATGCAGGAGCTGTATCAGGCTCTGCACAATATGAGGGATGTATACAAGATATCAATTAGGTAACAGAGCTACTTCATAATTGCAATATAATCGTTAAAATGTAAACCCAGACTATCATTAAACATATCTCTGTAATGGAACTTAAGGAATCCTGTCCTTCAAAAAAGAACACAAACACTGAATAGAAGCATAAACCCATGCTAATGTTAATATGTATCCTCAGTTTTCAGCTACAAGAAATACAGCTCAAAATGAGAACTATTTCGCAATTATCAGCAGATAGAAACTTTCAACCCAATATCAATCCCTGTTACATGCAGCATCTGCACATCTAAGTCATAAAGACCTACAAGCGGTGTCACCGTGTAAAATATAACTGGAAGCAACTTGTTAGTAGGCTTTAGTTCCTCATATGCACTTCCTTTTCACTCAGAGATGGTTGTCTTGTTCCTTTTTTCTTGTTAGGAATTTGATACTTTTATAGGTTAGAACATAAATTTTAATACAAGAAAATTGTGCACACTCCTTCACAGAACTAGAACAGAATGAAAGCATTCCCTCAAATTTGAAACACAAAACTCACTTTTGAGGATTTCCTTTTTTCCATCTTTGATTTTCTTTTTCAAGTTGAACAAGCTGGTGCACTTTTCTCTTTAAAGGTCCAAAAATATTTGTGTGAATTGCATAAGTAACATCTCTGTCAAGTAATTAATAAGAGAGTATATCCGCCAGCACAACAGGAAGTAAAATATTTTGAATATTTTAACAAGTTTATTATGTATCAACTCAAGTATCACCTGACGAAGTGGAAGGAGGTTCTTTGGGTAATGCTGGTGGAATAGATAATGGGTTCCCTGGTGACTTGCCTGGGGACAGTCCAACTGGCATGCAGCATTCAGACAAATAGTGATCACCAAATGTTCATTTTAAAAAGAATATTGCAGAAAAAGATAAGTAGCTAGGAGTACCAGGAAGAATGGATGATGATATCCCAGGGGGCAGTGAATTTTGTGGTGCTCTCTTTGATGCATGTGTGTTGGATGCTACGTTTGACACAGAAATAGGTGCAGGATTTAGTAGATAATGTTCAACAATAAATTATTTGTGGGAGGGGAAATAAATTATCTACCAGCTACCTGGGGCAGTTGCCATAAAAGGAGCTTCGGGAGCCCTACTTTGAGCAGGTTTTGAAGGAACGGATTCCGGTACAAGTGGTAGGCTAGTTGGTGGACTTTGTGGAGATATTCTTGATGGAGATGCTCGTGGTGCTGCATGTGTAAAAGAAAAACCAATAACAACCAGGGATCCAGTGATGTTACAGGATAGGTCTAGCTAACAAGTACCTGAGGCTTCAGGACCTGGTGGCAATGGAGGGACGGTGTCATTAGCAATTACCGGGATCGGCATTGAATCACTTGGCGACAAAACTAGAGTACTTGGTGGAAGAGATGGTATATGATCTTTCACCTTTTGGGGTGCGGACGCAGAATTAAGAGGCGGCAATAAGAGTGGAGGGTCCACAAATGCCCCTGAATGGACATAAAACATTAAGTAAATTGAAGTTCAGTATCAGAGCTCTTTCAATATTACTGTAAGTCATGATATTCTACCATTAGGGAGACCTGCTGGGGTCGGTGGAGCAGCTATTGCATCGCCACCTGGAGAAAATACAGGAAATGTTGATGGAGATGGAGGCAAGCTATACCCTGAAATATGAGGTAACGCAACCAGTCAGTCAGTTCAGAAGAATTTTTTTTAGAAGTACACATGTGATGATAACATTTACAGCTGCAAAGCTGGAAAAGCTGCACTAATAATGGTTGACATTACCAACCAACTAGCACTCATTTTAGATTATGACCGAGATATGGATGGCAAAATTTTGGGCTTCTGCTGAAAAAATAGGGTGCCAGGAGAATCGGATGTGTGCAGCCACAGGAATACTGTAAGATGTTAGAATTTGCAATCTAAGGATGTTGAGTAAGTTTGATTGGGAAATTGTCATGCAAAGGCAAGGAAACCAGTTACAGACAGCCCATAGGATATAGACAGCTTAACATTGAGTCCTCGGTATCTCAAGGAGGAGAGGAAAGTAGAAGAAGTCAATGTTTATTATCTTTGAAGGGCAACTGAACATCTGTCAACCTATACTCAGTATCAAAGAGAGAATATCCTTACCAAATCACAAAAGAAGAGAGAAGACGAATCGTATTATAGCCTACATTAATGGCTTGCCAGCGATTCCTGAGATTTGGTGGAACTACATATATAGGCAACACAAAGAACTAGGAAACAAAATCAACCTTAACTGTGATGCATTAGGAAAAAAAATTCTAAATTGAGAAGGGATGACTACAAGAGTCCCAGAAAGAAAATAATATCACATTAACCACAGTTTTAGATAGTGAAAGTAGTGAAACTGAGGCAAGTCCATTTGTGCCTTTACAACTTAGGAACCCACAAGCTCCTAACTTTCTGTCTGTCACCGTTACATCTATAATCTATAAAATTTTAGATGCAGAGAATAGATTTGTCCGAATTTACAACTTTTGATAGCAATAACTTAAGTTTCTTAATTAATTGCTGCAGAAACGGAAAATACGTCCAAATTCCAAACTTCAAACAACACATTGCCAAAAATCATCACTTCTATAGCATCATATTCGAAATTTTAATCAACCGAATAATGCAACTTGACAAATTAAATTCTCTCTTCGCATGAGTAAAGCTGTTGGAGATTAATAAACTTCAGAAAGAGTTACCAGAAGATCCTTGAAACGCCAAGAAAGCAGCCAAGACAGTGACCTTCAGCACCGAGAACACAACTTGCAGCACCACCACTCCCATCCCATATGAAATCAACCGCAGAACCAATTCTCCAATCCCACCAAAATGTTAATAAAATATCCAAACAGTAAACATCATCTTAATGAAATGATTTGTGTAAAGGCTTCTGATGACTTAAAGGGATGACAAAAGAGAGGAAGTTAGATGAAAGCAATAACTGGCGAAAGACCCACCAAGGCCAAATAGTGAGAAGGAAGCAAGCAGAGAGGAGACGGAAGGAGTTTCTTGAAAAGCCCAAAAATGGGATTTTAGATAGGACGAAAAGCAATCAGTTCGTGAGAGTGTGAGCCAAACAATCATAATGACAAAAAACTCAGGCTCTGAGTTCTTGCAGAGTTTGGAGGCTGCTGGCATGTTACCTACAACCGTTTCTACAGACATGTGGAGCAATTAAAGAGTAATTAAAGAAAACCGACCAGCTAATTAAGGTAACTATAAACTGTACCAAATAACAGCACTCCTTTTCAAACACCCCAAGTAACAGTCAATCTTAGACCCCCGGAAATTACCCACTTCGCCCTCACCACCAGGCCCTGCATCAGCATTGCCGTCTTGTTTCTTTTCTTTTGGCAAATTTCTTTCTTCGTCTTAATTTTGGCTGTTAAATTCAAAGCACGGGTATCTATCTGTAAGAGGATAGTTTGGTTCCTATGTCCTTAAACGCTACTAATTAAAACAACAGATGAGTGAGGCCGGGGACTTGAGAAGGGTGGCAGAAAATTAATTACTACTGTTTCTTTTCATCATAAATTGGAAGTCACATTTTTCCTTCGCGACTGTTCCATAGCACGAGGTAACAAGTTGAGAAGTTGGAAGGAAAATGATGCACCAACTTGGGAAAGAGAGTTAGGCTTAGGAGGACTCTCATCTCATCTCATTATTGTGATTTGAGTTTAGTGACAAACCAAGTTGGGAAGTCTGCGGACTGCTGGTCCTAGTGGTATTATTATGGTGGCAGTGGGAGTTGAATGAAATTCTTGGAATTGTTTAGTTTGGTCGCTCACTGGTCACTAGTGGGGTTTTGCTCGGACTGCGTTTACTTGCAGATTTTCGGTTGGTGATGTTTTAACTTTTAATTCCATCTCTCTCCCTCTCACTCTCACACACACGAGGCTCTGAGAGTGATAGTAGAAAGAGAAAAGAGGAGAGAGATTTATGTGCAAAATTGTGATATAGGAACTGATCTGCGGGGGCACGTGTCAAATGGCTTTTTGACACCTCACCTTCACGTACCTTGTAATCCTGATCACCGACTAATCAAAAATAAATGAATAATAACTCATCTTTAAACACACACTTGGTTTTGGGACCATCTTATCCATTTTTCCTAAGGACACACACTTGGGTTGGCACCATATTTTTTAAATTAAAAAAAAAAAAAAACATGATCTGCCAAGAGCTATCATCAATTGCATAGACTTGAATCTGTTGTTTGCAGTAGTGTCCTTAAAGCGTCACCTTTACGTTAGAAAAAATCCTTCTTCTAATTCAATTACTTTACCAAAAGAAATACAAAAAACTGAATAGATTAGAAGCATTTGTATTTTTTTTTTTTTTTTTGTAAAACATGAAGATGGGAAGTCAACCATTGGATTCGCTCGTCAAGAGAAATTCTTCACCTGCGAAAGCTATTCTTCACCGAATTTCGGCCTAATCATCTTGGCAAGTTTTGACCCTTTTCTGTAAGTTTGAAGGTATTGTCAGAGGTGACCCCGTGAATCCCTGATTGGGCAGATTTAAAAAGGAAAAAGTTGGGTAGATCTGACCTTGTAAATTAATCCAAATTTTGCCGTATGTTAGCGAGATATTAACTTAACATGGATTACAGGAGCCTAATTGGCATTTTCCCTTTTTTGTCTTTTAACTCTTTCCCTCAATAGGCGTCTTGACATCTCACATACATCACATCACAAAAAATGCTATAGTAAAAATATCTCAAATAACTTACAATCCAAACAGTATTTGGATTGTAAGTTATTTGAGATATTTTTACTGTAGCACTTTTTGTGATGTGATGTATGTGAGATAAAAAGTTAATTGGAAAGATAAAAAGGTGTATTGAAAATTGTAATGATGATGTAAGCAAATATATTTGGAAAAATAATCAGCTATCCAAACAAGATATTTCCCCGTCATTCATGCACACCATGTGTCAAAATAAAACAGTTTTGTTATTTGGATTGAAGATTATTTGGATGATTTTTTGGGAATGATGATGTACCACTTTTTAAATATTTGATGTGTATGAAATAAAAAATTGATAAGAAAAAATAAGAAAGTGATTGACAAACATATTTATAATACAAGAAATGAATTTTTTAAAAGAGTTGTTAATCAATTATTAATAATTGAGTTTTCTAAGAAGTGCTCGGTGAGCACTTATTAAAATAAAATTTAATATTATATTTAACTTATTATGTGAATGCACTAAAAAATTAACAATCGGACTGCATCTCGATGAGTGCTCGCCGTCTGAACACTCATTAAATGGAGCCCTGATAGTTTAGCTGCCCATCAAGTTAGCCTTAATTATTGTGAATCAGCGCTAAATGTAGTTATCTTTGAAAGATTGACTACTATCAGCTGCCTACTCTGGATCAAGTGGACAAGAAAGATTAACTAAACCGAGGGTTAGTTAAAGTGCCTGTAATTAATATTGGCGGAGGGCTGAGTGGTCCGTAACTCCTCATTGACTTTTGAACCACACCCGTAACTGCACTTTTGTCCAGATGAATAATTTGGGAATTGTGAGATTCACATAAATAAAATAAAAATAGAATCCGTCCTGTTGAAAAAGACACTCGTAATATTAGGACTAGAGCTGTAAACGAACCGAATCGAACCGACTATCTCATGTTTGAGCTCTGTTCGTTAAGTAGTTCGAACAACGTTCGTGTTCGTTCGTTAATTTTCGAACTCCAAACCTGTGTTCGTGTTCGGTTCGTTAAGTAAAATTCGTGTTCGAGTTCGAGTTCGAGTTCGAGTTCGGCTCGTTTATGTTAAACGAGCCGTTCGCGAACATGTTCGAAATGCTCGAATCCAAATTATTTTATGCCTTAAATATGCCATGCAAATTATTAATCATTCTAAAAAATAATTAAAGCACTAAGTGACTAAATTCTATTATTCATTAACTATATAACTAACATTAACATAAAAACAACAAATAAAACAAAGAAATTTGCCCTCCAAATATAAAAGTCCAGCCATAAAATTAACCCTAAAATTTGTTAAATGATAATTATGTCTATGTTCGCGAACGTTCGTTAAAACTCGCGAACATGTTCGTGTTCGCGAACGTTCGTTTAGCATGTTCGCGAACGTTCGTTAAAACTCGCGAACATGCTCGTGTTCGCTCGATTATTAATCGAACAAAAAAATTCGTTCGAACTCGGTTCGTTTAAAATTTCGAACGAGCCTTTCACGAACACGAACGAGCCGAAACGAACCGAGCTACCGAACAGCTCGGTTCGTTTAACAGCTCTAATTAGGACACACACGTGGCTTATGTTAAATTAATCCGAAAAGGCAACCTCGTGGGTGGCAGTAGTGTAAATGAATTTAATCAAATAGAATACTCTAGTATTCAAACTTGTTTCATTATTTTAATAAACTTAAACTATTATTTAAAATTGAATTGTTTATTTTCTGAATCGATTTTAAACGAGTTTTTTTTTATCGAATTTGAAAATTAGCATGATTAGTTTGTGAATCAAGATCGAACGAATTCTTATCATAGTAAACTCGATTAAAGTATCATGTAGTTTTATTCATCTTTCAATCATATTCGTGAATAAAAAATCATTTCACTAGAATCAATTGAGCGATTTTGCAGTACCATCAAATTAACATATCTTTAGTTGAATATAAATCGATTATTAAAAGGGTCTTTCTAATGCGTGCTTGTTAGACATTTGTTAGTACATTTAAAATTTATCTAACATATCATGTATATACACGTACTATAATTATTATCCTATCTTACATTTATATAATTTTCTTATTTAATTTTACCTAACCTTCCTTATATTTATTTACTTTTTCTAATGAGTCTTATATTTTAAAAAGAAAATATGACATTTAAAATATATTTTAACCACCCGCGATATTGCTAGAGCAAAAATTAGGATGCAGAGCAAATTTCGATTCAATTGACAACTTTACCCTTCCTCAGATTAGCGACAACCAATCTTAGTGTAGGCCCAGAACCTTTGTTCCTTTCCTGTTCCAACTCCAAAAATTTCCGGCTCTCGATCATCTACTGCTGCCCCAACAAAGCCACCAACCGCCAGCGCCATCTCAAGAATTCAACAATAACTAATCTTCCATGCCCGCAATCCAAGACTCCATAGTCAAATTTCCTGTTGACCTGTCATCCAACGGATTTGGGACAGGATCGGTCATCAGACAAATCGTTCTTGAGCAGTTCACGGTTAAAATGTGATAAAAAAAATTGTACGATTCAGATCTCATCTTGTATCTCGTTTTTAACAACATGTATGGGACCTATAAAATTTAGTTCTAAAATTACACTTTGTTAAAAGTAAGTTACATTATGTACAAATAGAATTACGTCATGTGTAAAATACACATGACCTTCAGGAACGACTGCCTGCCCTGGTCCTTATCCAACCTAATCTCATCACTTGGCATATATCTTATTTTCCTCCTCCAATTGTCCCCTTCCCCCCCCCCCCCTCCCCCTTCCCCTTCCCAGTGCCCACCTTATAAATTTGTTTTTACTAATTCAATCAACAATTCACAAGTTTAGAGGTCACATATGGGACACACGTCAATCTAAACCAGATGCAAAATCGGACCAAGAAAGGCTGACCATCAAATACTTAGAAAAGAAAAAATAAATTTCTTCTGAAATCCATTTATTTGTTCTTTCTCTATGATCATTGATTTCAATCCAGACAAAATTGAAGATCTTTTTTACTGGGCCGACAAAGGTGTGACAGGAGGAAGGAATGGACTGATGATTAATAAAATTATGATTTCTTAAGGAATTGACTGATAATTTTGTTTCTACTTTACGGAATTCCTTATCGCAATTTTACTTTTATTTATCCACCTGAGTTCTGCGGGTTTTCCTCATTGATACAGCAATGAAGAAAAGAAAATGATAAAAAAGAAATTGGTTGTAAGAGTAAACACGAATTAGTAGTCCTATAAATTTAGCCGCGATGGAGCTTCAACGTTTTCCATCTTTCGTTGTCTCCAGCTCTCCAGATCTGGAAACCGTGACAATCGCTGCCCGCTGCCCACTGCCGACTGCCCACGTGTGGAAATCTACTTATGAAACCTCTGGAATCTGGCACCCACAGAGATGGGATCTCATGCCCATGTAAGTTGTGGTAACTAACACGGGACGAGGGACCAACAACAATAAGGGGATGTTGACGCCCCAAATTGTCTCTACATTTTTGCCCATTAAAGAGTAATAATGAATAGTGACCCCTATTTTTGGTACTACAAATTACTATCTCTTTTAGCCCGCGCTGGGTTGGTATGCTGGTGGAAGTAGCCTCCTTAGATGAGTTCCACCTGGATTCGATCTCGGGCAGCAACCCAGTTGTTATCTTCTTCAGCATTGGTCGGGCCCGCTCTGTTGGAGCGCTGTGGGATTAGTCGGGTGTAAACCCGGATACCTACAGTGATGAAAAAAAAAATTACTATCTCTTTTCATTTGGTATTGCCACCACATTTTACAAACATTCTACAGATGTATAGAAAAAAATTTCTTGCTTTTGAAAAGGTTTGGCGAACATACAGGCAAAGTTTTGTGCTTAAATGAATACCAAGATCAATTATCAGATGCATTTTTTATATGTACCTGTATATGTATAT